CCTGACTGTATCTTAACTTGCGTCGTCTGATGCTGCTAACAACCTATGCTCTCCCTCTCTGTCTGTCTGCCCCTTCCCCTCCCCCCACACACACACGGGAGCTGCCGTGGTGCAACGACTAGACACTCGCCTGCGAGTCGTGGGTTCAAATCTGATCGTAGCCGGACTGGGGGGGGGGGAAAATTGACCTCCCCAAGCCAGGTCGACGTAGTCTCAGATAGAGACGGGGGAGGTAAAGGCAGCCAGCGCGGTGTTGACATCACCCAAGGAGTGTCGATTGATCTGTTGCACCTGCAAGCGTCGAAAAGGCTCCTTTCTTCAACTTTACATACACAAGCACGCGCTTATTCTGTTTCTTTTTTTTTTCATTGGTCTTTTAAACTGTACCTCCCCCCCCCCCCCCCACACACACACACACAATTTCTAGTACAAGGACAATTATATTTTGGCAATATATATGTCCAGATCCACTTTTTATTTTGTCCCTCGTCCTTTGAACCTCTACAGTTTTTTTAGTTCCACCACAGCTGCACATTGGAAGCATTGTAGCAGCTTACCGCTCGCCTGCGGATCCCAAGGTTCATGGCATGGGTTCAAGTCCTGACGTAGCCGGGCTTTTGTTTGAAAATTGACCTTGGCTCCGAGGTCGACCCAGATTTAAACGGGTAGCAGGTAAAGTCCCGACAGGGAAAGACAGCCAGCGGGGTATTGACCGCATCACCCACCATCCGATCTACATACAAAGTAAAGTCTTAACTCTATAGGCCTAGCACGACTGAAGGGGCGGAAGAGGTACCTTTACTTTGGTACTTTTGCAGCTGCGCATCACCACTTGACCAATCAAATCTTCCACAGCATAACAACACAAGCTTCCTCTATGGTGTTCGCTCTCAAAAGGGTGGTCGGAAGGTTGTGTTGTGGTTTACTGCTAGGCTGGGATATCTACACCTTTAGGCACAAACATATCGGAGTTTCAGCGAACCTCTAATTAGTTGCCTTCTACGAATTCCCCCCGCCCCCCGTCTTCCCAACCCCCGCCTCCCCAACCCCCCGTTTCCCATAACGCCGCGGAACCTAGCCTGGGAATTTACAACATATAGATTAGAGAAGATAAAAAGTCAAGGACCCCTGTCCACGTCTTTCAGGCGTATTGGGTTTATAGGGCTAGACCTATATTTTATGGACCAGACGGCAGTTGGTGGATGATGTGGTCAGCAACACACTGGCCGCCTTTGCTTCCCAGAACTGTGCAGAGAAGATGGCTGAGGATATTTTGCCAGGGGGAATATGCTTCACTAATTGCGAGCGGGAAATTGGTCTGCAGAGACGAAAGTACTCAGACAGATCTACTCCATAGTTTCAGTAAATAACGAGCCATGGTAGCTCACTGGCTACACGCTACCTGCCTGAAGGTTTTCGGTTAATAATCCAGGTTTATTAATAACCCACGTCAAGACTGAATTTTATAAATAAAATTACTCTCACTCAAAGATCGACCCAGCCAAAGATGATTTGGGTAACACGTAATGTCATGGGAAGTAAAAGTGACCGGCGTTATAGTGATCCATCGAGTAAGTAGAAAAAAAAAACGTTACTAAGGGATTCCCTTTACACCCGTGGCATATCTTGCAGGCGACGGTAGACCTAACAGCGCGAGATGGATGATGTGATCAACACCACACTGGCCGTGTCAGTTTCTTGGGACATTTTCTGCTACCCATCTTAGTCTTTAGGTCAGCGGTCTCAAACCTGAAAAGGGGGTGGGGGGGGGGGGGGTGAGGAAGTTGGTGCTTTATTAATATCCTACCCTAAACAGGACAAATCCACCAGTCACCATACAAATATTTCAGGGGGTGGTAGGTAGGCTGCGTGCAGTCGTGGGACCTAGGCTGCACTCTCTCGTGGGACGTAGGTGGGTTGTAATTAGGGCTAGTTCTAGAGGTTTTGGGGTCGTTAAAAGCATCAGAAAGCCGGGAAACCCAATCTTTCCACCCTCTAAAATGTTAGACTGTCCTGTGACGTCAACGGGGGTCGGATATTAATAAAGAACCGGGAGTTTTAAAGGGGGTGTCAAACAGTTGTGGAACGGAGTTCATTTGTACTTGTAATAGTGAGGATTTTCAGCTCACACCCCCCCCCCCTCCTTCTAAAAGTCTATACTATGTGGTATTGGTAGTCATGTATCCACAACCTTCTATCTCGTGTACTTTCAATCATGTCATAGATGATCCTTCATGCCATGATGTCAAACTGTCCAGCATATTTTCTCTCGGCCTCCCGGTGCCTCTTCTCTCCTTTAACTTTCTTACTGTCAGGAAGTGCTCCGGTTATCTCCTTCCCTTCACATGACCAAACGATTGTCATCTTCAGGTCATGAAAACAGAACGGCGCTGCTAGCTTGCCGCGGAGAGTGATCTCCATTGTGCATTGTCCAACGTCAGATTAGAAACAGCATATATCATAAAGGCAAAATAGTTTCAGTCAAAACATTGATATTTAGACACTAAATTACCAGTTGTAGGTAACTGTTTCTCTTGTTTTGTTTTGTTGACACTTTGAGTTATGCGTGTTTTATTTTCCCTCTAAGTTCTTGTAAACTGTAATTAGCATTTTTTTGGTAGTCTTTCTCTTAATCACTTTTTGAATGGAAAGGGTGGGGGGAGGGAGGCGGGTGTTTCTAGCGATATACTAAAAAAAAAGGGGTGTGGTTAGGGCGCCACCTGAAAAAAAAGGCTTTAGAAACTGCTAGGCAAGGTATACTTGGGTGCCAAGATCAATTATTGTAATATATATATATATATATATATATAATTTGTTTAGTTGCGGATTCGAACTACAAGCTTTGAGCCACTACGCTTTCGCAGCCCTAAACCATTTGTATAAACACAGAAAGCATATTTTTTTACGCCGATAGACAGTCGGCGCTGGATATGATCATTATTTCGACAGCCGTCACCTCTCCTGTATAGACAGGACAGGGAGTAGTTTTAGTGTAGCGGCTAGATGCTCGTCTGTGCATAGGAAGGTCGAAAGTTCGAGTCCTGACGGTGCCGGCCTTTTTTATGACTTTTATTCCCAGGTCGACTCAGACTTGAATGGGTACCAGGTGCAGTCCTGGGAAGTAAAGGCGGCTGGTCTGATGGTGACCACATCACCAACTAAAGATTCAATTGTTCTACAAAATATAGGTCTAGCCCTATAGGCCCGATACGCCCTAAGGCGTGGAAAAGGGTCATTCACTTTACTATACTTTCTATAGACATGGAGTAATCTTCACCAGATCTGCAGTCATGCCCTTTCTGTTCTCGCGGCTTGTCTCTCACTTCATGAACTGCTATAAAAACAACCCATCAGGTTTTTTGCAAACAGATGCGTTCCATGCGTCTGTGTCAAGCTACCGGCGCCTTGTCGAATTTTGAATGTGTGAGGAAAAGAGTAATGGCTCCCAGGAGATGCGGATTCCCTGAAGTGAATGTCGGCAATAGTTTACTGCGTCATCATTTCGTGTAGGGATGATCGTTCTTCGTGTGATAGTTATGTTGCATAATGAGGTAATTTGATATCACCACTACAAAGGTTGCGGTTTTAATTATTACAGTTGTAGTTTACACTTTCTTTGGTGGTTTGTAAGTTTTATTTTTGGCGCACCAGAGATCAGTATCCACATTGGAAAGTTTATTTTACAAAATCGCTATCGTGGTTGTTATGAAAGTAGTTCGAGAATCGCACCGTAGACGAGACTGGTGCCTCACCACGCAACATTCCCAAGCATAGACGAGACTGAAGCTTCGTCACGCAACATTCTCAACCATAGACGAGATTGTAGCTTTAACACGCAACATTCTCAGGCATAGACGAGATTGAAGCTTCGTCACGTAACATTCTCAGGCATAGACGAGATTGAAGCTTCGTCACGTAACATTCCCAGGCATAGACGAGATTGAAGCTTCGTCACGCAAGATTCTCAGGCATAGACGAGATTGAAGCTTCGTCACGTAACATTCTCAGGCATAGACGAGATTGAAGCTTCGTCACGTAACATTCTCAGGCATAGACGAGATTGAAGCTTCGTCACGCAACATTCTCAGGCATAGACGAGATTGAAGCTTCGTCACGCAACATTTTCAGGCATAGACGAAATTGAAATTTCTTGTCGCAACATTCTCAGGCATAGACGAGATTCGTGCTTCACAACGTAACATTCTCAGGCATAGACGAGATTTGTGCTTCACAACGTAACATTCTCAGAGACAGCACAGCGTTCAACTTTCATTGTGCAGACGGAGCACATTTTGTAAAAAGATCTGTAAAATCTTTATGAACAGTTTTGTATGGAATACGGGAGAATAGCTTGGTCCTGTGTTGAAATTGAGAACCATATACATGTAGAAATCAGTCTGCAGTTTCACTGGCATGCCTAACTGTATATTCATAGCAGCACGGAGCGAGCACACCGCAGCGTTCACAAAAGTTTCATTCCATTGAATCGCTCCGACTCTCTGACAGGTCGGACTCACCCTGTTTAGGACCTACAGGCGTCTTTCATTTGTGGTAATTTGTGTATACACATGTCCCACATATAAGTCCCCATGTGTGCCTACCAAACAGCTCGTGAGCTTCAGCTTTGCTGTAGAGGTTACAGCTAAAGGCTGCCCCCGCCCCTAAACCCCCGCTTAAACACAGTTAACCTTGTGGAAACGTGAAGGCACTATCACTTGCAAGAATCATCAGTAAGTCGACAGATCAGCCTGTCTGCACGTGGCATCATTCAGTCCATAAGTGATGGAATCCCTTTCTCAGTATATTCCTTAGCTTGTGACGATGAAGTCAGCTCTATGTTAGTTCACTATTCCTCACCGGTGACCTTCATATCTAGTAGCTTCACCTTTATTCATTCGTCCTCACCTTGCAAAAGTAACGAAAGTACCTAGAGCAGTCCGCCCTAACGGAAGTTTACGTGAATGATATCGGCACTATCGGCCTGTTCACGTTGTTTGCGT